GCTTGCAATATGTCATACTTATATTATGAAGATTGCTTATAAGCAAAAATTATCTTTACAAATTATTGATATTAATTACATTATTTTATAATAACGTTTGCTGTAACATAACAAATTTTATCACAGCTCAAATATCTTTTATATTTTTAATTATTAAGAACGTTAATTTATTTAGTGAATTGAATTATTATCATGCATTAGCTGTAAGGTTATAAGAAGTGTCAAAAGAAAATTGCTATTTTTGCTTTTCATTTTAAATAAATATTTGTTAAAAGTTAACAAATATTCATTAACACTTAATAAATCGTATTTTATAAATAATTTATAAACTGTCAATAATTTATAAACTGTTAATAATTGCATATGTGTGCCTCAAAAAAATATTTTGCTTTTGTCATTATTGAATCGAAGTTTAATTTACTAATCTGTTGCTTTTTTATTATTATTAGTTTTTTTCTAAACTAAACTAATTTTGTTTACTACCAATACAAATTTAATTTAAATAAATAAGCATAAAAACTTTATACATTAAACATAAAAAACTAATTAAAATTTACATAATAACCAATGTTTGAGAATCGGTCAACTACTGGAACACTCCTCGGTCAACTACTGGATCAAGCCGGTCAACTACTGGTGTTTTTATCTTACCTGCATTTAAACGTGAATTTATATGTAATTTTATGAATAATTATTTTAAATAACTTCACATATCAAAAACTTGAATATTTAAGGTTCATATAAACTTAAAATTTTTATTTTTTAGCGTATAATAATTTAATTACGATCAATTGAAATGCCAAAAATCCTTAATCGGTCAACTACTGGTGCATTTACCCTAAGTGCAATTTTTTATAAATATCTTTTTAGTTGTAATTTAATTAATAAAAAAAATCAATAATTTTGAGACGTCTGCTAGCTTCAGTGTCATATAAAATTACCTTTCATCAGTTTCATCAAGCAAAGGAACATTTTTTTTCCTAAATGACGAAGCTTGCTCATCATCAGAGTGAGATTCCTCAAATTTATCAACAACCTTAGCTTTTGTGCTCTCCTCTTCCTCGTCGGATTCGAAGGGTTTAGGTGCTACGTTTAATAAACTATTTAATTCTTCTGCAAAACTCGACTTTTTTGCTTTTGACATCTTGAATTTATTATTTATTTAATAATTAATAATAAAAATAAAAAAAAAATAATAATACATTGACAACACACTTGTTTTCACATGCGTATAAATATACTTAACCTACAAAATTTATTTTTGTCACGTGGTGAGCTATATATCCACGCTAGGTGGTACTACCTTCAATTTCTTGCTCAATTCATTCATAAATTAAAAAATCACTTATTTATAAAAAAATAAGTTTGAGAAAATATTGTTTATTTAATTATTACAACCATTAATAACAATTTTAATACAATTAAAAAATTAATTTTCAAAGTTGAAAAATAATTTACATAACAATTAATTTTAGTAAGCAAAAAATAATTAGTCTCAAGTTGACGTTCTAATTAACAAATTGCCTAACTCCATTTTAGAGAATCTTCTATTTGTACGAAAAAAAACAATTAGTTCAAAATTTATTATCACTTTAAAAAACCATTTAATATCATTAATACCTAATAGAGATATAATATTTAGGTTTAAATCATTCAAATAATTAATAATTGGATTATTGCTACATAAAAATGTTAAAAAATCATCCTCTAAAAAATAAGGAGAGACAAATTGCTAATTAGACCGTCGAAGTGTTATATAAATTTTTAACTCTTGAGCTATAAATAAAATTTTAATAAAATTCTAAAATTTAATTTCTGGATTGCTGTAAAATTCAGCCTGGATAGTTTCATAAGAATAAGAAATATCCCCATCGTAGTAACACTTGTATGTTATTTTTATATTAAGCGTAGTTTTGATAGCGTCCAATTCAACATTTAGCGTCCTTCGAGGTTTGATAGTGATCATTGGATAATAAAATGAATAAGTAGGATCCTTTAGTACCCTCAACTTGGAGCGATCCGTGCTTTTGCCCCACGGTTGGGAATAATAAAACGACGAACTGTTCTCGGTTTCTATTTCGTAATCAATTATTTCTCCGTCAAAATAGGGTTTCGCGTTTGACCAAAGAGATGACACGGAGTTCAAAACTTGCTTCTCCAGCCCTACATTGCAATGCTTATTGTTGTTATAATCGTTGTTTTCAAAAACTTGAAATTTAATTGTCACGGTGCTCCTTCTAACTGCTAAATTGATGTCAGATATTGAGAGAATTTTATGCTTGAATGACGGTCGACTCCTCCATATTGCCAACACGGCTGACAAATTTTGGCACGCCTTGTCATGCCTCACCTGACCTTCAAATTCGCAATCGCGCGGGCTAATACTTCCTAGAAAATCTTCGTACTGACGATAAATTTTCTCAGTTTTTTCTATTTTTCCCGAGGCGGAAACAATAAATTTACCGTTTCTTTCAGTTATTCTTATAGTTATCCCCATTTTATCTGCAAATAATTTTTATCTACATAAAGTTTATTTTATAAATTTTTATTTAATTATAAACTACTTACCGAATGATGCAAGTTTTCTTCAAGCTGGTTCACGACAATCTGACAATGAAATGACATACAGTATCACCGCGTGCTTTAAAATCACAATATATGCATTTCGAAATTTATTATTGCCTTGATGTGACATTTATCGCGCACGCGTTCTATCAATTCAGTTACTATTTTTTAATTAAGTTCTAAGATGAGCCAAATCTGTTAATTAATTAAGAAATGACAGCAATTCAAAAATTTTTTTTAATCTAAAAAATTTTCACTTTTACCAAATTTCCATGCAATAGAACGCGATATCCTATCGAATTTCTGTAAATTGCATCTGAAAGCTTATTTTAAGTAAGATTTAATTTGTATACTGATAAATTTTTTAAAATTAAATAGTTAAGGACGACAGAAATTTTAATTATTCAGAATCCTTAAAAATTGGCACTTTTACTGTTTCTTTGCTAATAAATAACTAATGAATGGGATAACTTGTAAAATTTTTCTTAAATTAAATAAACTTTAATTTGCATATCTCACCATCAGTGTAGGCCAAAAATTACTTACTCTCTTTGTCTATTTAATACACTGAGAAAAAAAAATACTTTTAATAAGAAAATGTTAAATTGATTGAAATAATTTTTACTTAATTTAAATAAAGTTATTCTTTTGTTTATCGATTATCCAAAAATAAATATTGATCAATTCATGAAATTTTAAGACCTACTTGATAATATATTTAGTTAAAGTTTTTACGCCATATTAGGTCAAGGACTAGTAGATTTTTTATTCAAGCTCAAAGATGGATGGTCCATCTTCCCTTTTGTTAGCTATATATACTAGTAAAGCTAGAAGCTTGTGGTATCTGTTCGAGTTATGTAGATGTTCGTTAAGTGAAAGATAGTGAAAGAAAATTTGAATAAGAGTAAAGACAGACTGAAAAAATAATTGGGGTTGGTTTCCTGGCTTGGACCATCCATCTTTGGGCTTGAATAAAAAATCTACTCGTCCTTGACCTAATATGGCGTAAAAACTTTAACTATAAATACTGATGTTCTTCTCTTCAGAAATTAATAATTAATAATAATAGAATATTTGATCGTCAGCGAGTTTCTTCAGCCAAGAAATTGTTAATTGAGCAAAAGTATTTTTTTTTTCTCAGTGTAGAATTTTACTCTTGCATTCGTTTTGGAAATGATTATTTTAGTAGTTATTGGATTCACTAATTTTTTTTATTTATTTATTTATTTCAGCCTAACGGCCTAGAAATGGACTTGCGGTAGAAAAATACATAATTAACATTTCTCATATTAACATATAAACTTCAACTTAACTACTTAATAAGCTTAAAACTATATAGAACATATTTTTAATTCTTAAAATTATCAAAATCCTTAAATTCTTAAATGTCTTTGTTTATTTACACTTTGGGATTTTTTCACAAAATTTACACTCTTGCTTCGATTTTCACCGAGACCATTTTTTTCCTCTTTTCTCTTTTCCATTTGTCAATTATCCGCAACTAGTCCAGGACTCTCTTTTCATACCTGCCCCTCAGGATTTCTGCCGATAGCCTATTCTTTTTATATTCCTACAGTTTTCTCTCCAATGATCTATAGAGTCTTCTTCTTCACCGCATAAGTCACAACTTTTTTCTTCTTTCAACAAACAATATTTTTCTTAAATTTAATATCGAAGTATTTATAAAATATAAAATTGAGAACAAATAAGTAATCATTTTTGCGATAAAATAGAAATAATACAGAAAATAAATATTAAATTGATATTTATTATCTAAATACATAAATGTTTACATTAAATACAGTAAATTTGAAAATTCTAAATTAAAAAAAAAAAAATTAACTGATCAACTGTTTGGCCTGAAAACCATACTGGTTTACTGAATTATTCTAACTTACTTTACATACGCGGGAATGGAAGAAAAGACAATAAAATGAAATAATTTTAGTAAACGGACTTTAATTAATTTCTTCATACATTACAATAATTTTTTTAACGATTAAGAAATCTAATAATCGATTATTAATCATAAAGGTTTGGAAAAAAATTTATTAAAAGATTAAATAATTATTTATTAAATTAAATATCAGACAGAAATAAAAATTAAATCTATTTCGAAAAATGGCAAACAAAAATTAATGCTTTGGAAGACTTCTCTTCAATGATAATCAAAAGATACTCTTAATAATTAATTAATAATGACAATGGATAAACAAAAACAATTTTTAGTTTATTTACATATTGCTTGGCCCTACATTATTATCAATTTCAATAAAAACAAAAAAAAAATCCATTATTTTAATAAAACTAAGTCAAAATTTACATTAAATGGGATAGAGTTGACGTTTTAGAAGAAAAAACTCAATGATGGCCACCGTGAGGGCAATCGTTAACGTGAACGCGCACATGGCAATCACCCACAACCACCACATTATAATTACAACAGTTGTATTGAAAAAAATATTTAATTTTGATTGTTTTATAGCTAGTCAATAGAGAAATAATAATTTCAAATGATAAAGAATTTTATTTCTAGTATCACAATGTTGACTTCTCGTCCTCAGGCTCTTTTTTTATTGTAGGATGGTTGCATTCCATCAACGCTGGGTTCGCTACAGCAATAATGTTATCTCCTCGAGAAGCAATTACCTGTAAAATTTATTTTATTATTCACTTGTGGGTCATTAACTAACATACTAGCTGATAACATTTGTCTGACTAATCAATTGTGTCGCGATAATTTTATCTATGTATCATAGTTTTATTAGATAATTAAATAACTTTTATGACTAGTCACAATCAATTTTAATTAATATTTAGAGTCAAAATAAATAATTTTATAATTTAAATAATTAAAATGCTTACTTTTAAATTAAAATCACTTTCTTTATCCGTATTTTCGGTGTCCAATTCGTTGATATCCTGAAAAATTAATTTTTATCAATAAAAAAATTGAAAAATTCCAATCAATAAAATAAAAAGTGAGACTTACATGCAAAGATTCGTCATTAGAAAATGAAAATTGACTATCAGTGTCGCTGACTTCTTCGATATTGGTCATAAACACACCGTTGTTACTCTTCTTCCTCCAAACTGGACTGAAACATACTTGTCGATTTAAGTTGATACGTAATAGTCACCACTAAGCCCTACCAGTAAATAAAAATATTTCCCAATACTAACACTAATAATATTAGTAATGATAAAAATATTCACCTTGAGGAGGCATGTCGTCTTAAAGTACTGTTGATATCCGTCCCGGTACAGCGTAAATCCAACTCGGCCTGGAACAGCGGACTGCTACAGACAGTACAAAGAAAACCCGGTAATCCATCCAACAAGCACACGTATTTAACGTTAAGCCAAAACGTAAATAAAAAATAAAAAAGAAAATTTAATGTATTTGATTCTCAGAACTTTTCTATCGAATGAAATAAAAAGAAAAAGAAAAAGAAAAAAAAAAAAAAAAAGACATGCAGCTCATGCACTACGAAAAAAATTACCAAATAAAATCCATGCTCACGCGAATTAGATTGCTATACTTGACCTTTTTTTCGTGAAATAAGTTAGCGTGTGCGTTAATAGCTCTACGTGTTACGCAATAAATAATTGCTGTTAATAATAAACGCGTGAATTAATAAATAAATGAACATTAGTTAGTCCATGCGATCCATTGGTGTATAAATGCTTCTTTCTTTATTTATTTATTTCTGCAGGCGTTGCGTGCTAACCTGGGATGTGTCCTCACCCTCAGCATCTGCGTCGAGATGCTGGCGCTTAATTTTCTCAGTCTCTTCGTCCCCATTTTCGCCGCGTCTTGTCATTAGGCTGTAATAAAATCCGCTATTAATTGCTCAATTAGTACCATACCCGAGTTTTTACTCTCTATTTATCAGTTTTATTAATTACAATTGACTTTTGGAGTAGTGGTATCCGGAATCACGAACAACACGTCGGGCCAGAGGAAACAATTCGTCCCGTCTGGTCAGGAGAGCTGGAACAAACCGGCAAATTTGCGCAGCAGCTTCATTTACAGACACCTCGTGGAGTGTCAGCGGTTTTTCGGGTTTTCTTTTGCAATCAAACCGTCCATAAATAGCCGCGTACTTTCTTATCTCCTCCATCCTCCTGGGATCGTTCTCCGGCATCGCCATAACAATCTGCTTGATTGAAAAAATAAAAACAATTATGTAAAAGAAAGGGATAAAATAATTTATACACAGAAAAAAAAATTTTCTTGAATCAAGTATATATTTTTGAAGAACTTAATATTCTTGATTTGAGTAGAAAAATTCTTGATTAAAGGAAATTTTTCTTGATTTAAGCACGGAAAAAAATAAACTGTAATATTCATTTAGATTCCGGTTAATTTTTATAGTTTCATACAGTAAAGCGGACATCGGGGTGGCAAAAATATAAATATTACAGAACTTAATGTAGAAAGTATAAAAGCCACAATTTATAATTTAATATCCAAAATAAGTGATTAGTAGCTGTCACTATAGTAAATAACGACTCTTTCATCTTAAAAAATTACAGTTTCAAACAGTAAAAATTGCCATTTCAATATATAATCTATATTATGAGGAGAAGGAGAACTCAGATGAAAGAGAAGGCGGTCTCACTCTGGGAGAATTTAACATTTGAAACAGTAAAAATTATACTTTTAAAATATACATTTTACCAGTCCAAGCAAGTCAATAATTTAATTACAGTTTGATTTTTAGCGTTGCGTTTAAAATTTACCATTTTACTTTGTAAATATTGACGTTGCTTTATTAGAAATTTACTAACTTTATTTTATACTTTTTACATATCATAAGATCATTTTTAGGTACGAAATGATAAATATCAAAGTTTGAATTCTTAATTATTATACTTCAACATTTTAGACATTTACATATCAAATATTACTGTTTGAAATAGTATTTTCTTCCATGTAAAGAGTAAATTGTAACGGTTAAATTATAAATATTATAAAGTGAATAGTAAAATCACGATTTTACTGTTTGAAATGGTAATTTTTAGCAGTTGATCATTACTTATTATAAATCGACTGTTATATATTACAGTTTACTTTTTTCCGTGTAATATTTTTGATTTGAGTAGAAAAATTCTTGATTAAAGGAAATTTTATTTGATTCAAGAATTTTTCGTCTTGATTCAAGACAATTTACCCTCTTCAAAATTATATTCTTGGTTCAAGAATTTTTCTCTTGAATCTAGTTAATTTTTTTTCAATGTAATAATAATTGACTACCTCGAGATTTTTGCAAATTTTTTTCTTAACATTGTGAGGTTTCGGGTCCAACGGTCTCAAGTTACAGGCGAGTCTTTCGGCTGCATCCGCGAGTCGCTGTACCTGCGATGGCAATAACGTCGGCGTTACTTGTGTGGGACTAGGTGGTGCTCCTCCGCCACCACTCGGGCTGGGGGTTGTACCACTTCCGCAGGATGACTCGCAGGTTCCGACCTTAAATCATTATTATTAATTTATTAAATTAAATATTTGACGAACATAAATAAAACAAATTAAGCGACTCACTTGAAGCACTCCGGGACTGTGAGAACCCGTGTAAGCGATCGGCGTATTGGGACTCGGGCTGTGTCGAAATGTAGAGGCAGCAGGTGCAATAACAGTTGTTACCGGCGTAACAGGACTAACACTTCTGCAAGGCAACGGTGTAAGAGGCACGTGGGTCGTCGAGGAGAACGGTGTTGTCGGGCTTGTTTGAGCCAGCGGAAATATTGAGGAATTTGTTTGATGAGTTCGCGGGCTCGCCGCGGGTATCGGTACGCCTGTCGAACTACCGCTCTTCGCGGGTGCCGTGTTAGACGGTACTACTGGTGTTTGAAATAACGCTGAAAATAATTTTAGTTTTTTAATAATCTTTTTTTTTTTTAAATAATCTATATTATTAAGAGAATAAGCGAAATTTTGTGGCTGGTGTATTTATATGATAAAATGGGTTTTTATGGTTAAATTTGGTATCATTGAAGAGGTCTTGATCTGAAGTTGTGCCTTTTGAATGTTGCATATCGACGTTCTAATTGGCAAATTGTCAAACTCCATTTTAAAGAATCTTCCATTTGTACGAAAAAAAAACGATTAGTTCAAAATTTATTATCACTTTAGAAAACCACACAATAAAAAATTTTACGTCAATGCGTTAAAAAATTTTGTGCAAAAAATGTTTATGTTAAATATTTAACACTTTTTTGTATTAATTTAACACAATAAATGTTAAATTTACACGCAAAAGTGTTAAATATTTAACACAAAATTTATTGACGCACTGACGCAAAATTTAATATCATTATTATCTAATAGAGATATAGTATTTAGGTTTGAATCATTCAAATAATTTATAATTGGATTATTGCTACATAAAAATTATAAAAAATCATCCTCTAAAAAATAAGGAGTTAGACCAATTGCTAATTAGACCGTCGATATGCTTTTCTAAAATAGTTTATTTATATGATGATAAGTTTTCGAAGTAGTTACAAATAGATTCGAATTTAGCAATAAGGGCCAGTTTTTCAATCCGGGATAAAATTTTATCCGAGATAAAAGTGCCGCCAATAAAATAAAAAAAAATAAATAAATAATTCAGCGACGTGATATTGCTCTCAATTAATTCTCTATGAATTTGCTCGTTTATTTAAATAAATATATCATAAAAATAATAATAACCTCTTATTGTGTCATTTAAATTATTTTAAATCAATTAACACAATTATAAATTAATAATAGATATGTCAAACGCAAGATATGAGCTCGAAAGGCTCAAAAGCATAGAACAGTTACCTCTTTGAGCTCATAAAGCTCAAAATAACACATAAATTTTAATTTGGAGCTTGAAGAGCTCAACAACATTATAAGTGCAATTTCAAGCGCTTAGGTATGGAATTAGCGGAAAGTTACAGGGATCTCCTTCAGGGTCATCCGTTTTCCTAATTTTTATTTTATTTATTTACAATCAGGAAGTTGTCACAGTTGGAGGTGAATATTTCTGTGACGTGTGGCCAATGTTTATTTATTTTAATTCAAAATAAGTGACTGGAAATATCACTGTGCTGAATTATTTATTTTTTTATTTATCATAATGGCAGTACTTTTATCTCGGATTGAAAAACTGGCCCTAAATAAAATTTGTTTACTTATTTATTTTGTTTTGTACACTTCAATGTAGAGTTATATACGTCAAAAATTGATTTATGTAATTAAGAGACTAAGAAAAATTTAATAACGGGTATATCTTTATCGTAAATTGGGTTTCATATTTTTTACCGATAGTTATTTATGATTTAAATAATTGAAAAGAAAGGAAAATTTTGTGACGAGTATATTATTGTTTTTAAAAAAATTTTTATAGTTTAATTTGGTATCATCAAAAAGGTCTTGATAAGAATTAGTGCTTTTTGTTTTTATATATTTTTTAGTTTTCAATTTTTTATGTCAAGTTTTTGGAGGAGTTTTTAATAGTATTTTAGTTCTATAAATTTGTTCGGTCACATTTGTCCATTAAATTATTTGTAATTAAACCCTGTGATAGCATCATTATTTTTAAAATTTATTAATTTGGCATTAAGCCAAAGTTTTCTTATTTATAATTCGTAAATCTCGGCAGTTGCATAATGACTGCAGGTTGCTAGTTAAATTATTAAAGGGATAATTTTAATTATAAATACTTACAAGGGTTTGTTATCCATTCTTGTAAAGCTTTTTGCAGTCTTCTAACGTGTAGAGGTTTACTCGCCATACCGACTAATGCCATTATTTCTAGAAACTCTTCTTCACCAGCGTCACAAAGTTGTTGTACATCGTCACCACCTATTAACAATTTTATTTTATTTTATTATTGAGTTGTTAATTCATTTATTTTTTATTTTACAACACGGTTTTATATTTACTTCAAAGAGTCGTTTACAAGTGAATAATTTATTAGTTTATAAATAATAATAATTACCCATTTCTAAAAGCGTATCATAATATCCTAAAAGAGAAGCACGTTGCATAACACGATAAAGTTGTAGTTCGGCTTCGTTTTGCGGCACAGATGTCTGGACAACTAAAAACAATAAATAACAATTAATTGGAATTAATTAAATAAATGTGAAATGTAAATAAAGCAAAACTAGAAAAAGTAATTGTTGTTGACATTGACGAGAAAGATTGAGAAGAAATAAATAGTGGGACATTGGATCGTTTCCCCGGGTGATTTATATTACTTTTTACAAAATTCTCATATTAGTAGACCGAGTATTTTATATTTTATATGGAGGTGGACAATGACATGTAGAGATGTAGAGATGTTGAGATGTAGAGGCCTTTGGTAAAAAAGAAAGCTGGAGAAGACTGAAAGAAGTCAAGTCGGCATCCGTTAGACTAGAAACTAAACGCGGGAGTGCATCAGAGTAGCTATAAGCTATAAGCACCGTCGCTCTCAGCATCCTCAGCTCAGATGGAAAAAGTTCTTTGGCGAAACCAGGGTGTCCGACTAGTTTCTTGCAAATTTCGAGGAACTAAAAGAAAAAGCTTGCCCTCCTCGCTCCAGTCGGTCTTGCTCTCATCTTATTCTTATAGTTTCTTATTCTTCTTAATTCTTCTCTCCGCTCCCATCCAGCCGTTTATTGTTTTTCTCTCTGTCTCGTCAGCTCTTTACTCCAAGTTCTTTATGCTTCTGTAGCCGTCTCCTGTTCAGTGGTCTCCCTCCCGCATCCACACACGTATCAAGTATAAATTAATACTCTCACTACACGTTTAACCCGTGAGGGTATTAAACTGGTGGTAGTACATACTAAAGAAAGATGATGAAGAGAAGAAGGAGGTGGAGGAGGTGGAGGAGGTGGAGGAGGTGGATGAGGTAGATCAGGAGGATGAGGATCTGATGAAAAAACTCGCCGACGGTCTTATTACGGCTCGCCCGGTCTCACGCTTATATACGTCTCTCTTTTTATTTATATTCCTCGACTAAATAATAATCTGTATACTTTGGTTGTATTGGCCCTTTCGATAAAACGCGCGCGGGGTTAATCTTGTCTCAACCAAATTTTCATCAAAAACTTTTATCATCACTCAACTTTAATTAGTCTGGTCTGATGAACAATTCACATAAATTAGTGTCAATATTTATCAGATCAATCCGTTATTTAATTAGCCCCCATTAGGCTCGAAAAAAAAAAGTTATTTTAATATATTTAAATTTAAATAAGAAATATAATTGAATAAATAATAAATTAATAATATACATACATATACATAATATCAGAGGACTGGAATCCGCGAAAGAATTTTATGTATGCCTTTGTAAATGTTGACGAACGTTCCCATCAACGAAACGAAGAACGGAGAGTCCTCTTTATATAAATAATTGTTTTTTATTTTATTTTATTTGGTGGATGATGATTATTTTTATTTACCCTTTTTTTTTTCTCTTTTGTAAATTCATTTCTTGTTCTTGTTCTGTTTAATTCCCGCTTAGATTTGCCATGCGTACCTGACCGAGCGTCCATAGTTATAATTTACATAACGACTTTTTTAGCGCGATGTATGCTTTTTATGATGACGAACGTGATGCGAAGCGCCTGAACACATCGACACATTGCCAGTTGTCTCTGATGGTCCATATATATATATGTATTGATGTAAGTGTAATAAGATGAGGATGATGCACGTTTATAGTTTTCTTTACTTTAAAACTCAGGCATGCAACTTCCACCCAACACATAAAAGACACTAAAGACAGAAAAGACATTCAAAGACATCCGCGCGGTGACTCTCAGGCTCAGGGTATGCAGTATGGAAAGAGGGAAGAGGAAAGGAGAGCCTGACCAGAGACGTAAAGAAATGAGCCCCGAGAAGAAAACCAGATCGTCCAAGAAGAATCTCGCTTTAAAGTAAAAATACAAATATATCTCATCAGCCATTTTTATACAAGAAATTCAATACATTTTACATTCTATACAATTTTTATTAGAGCTGCCATTGACTCCAGACGCAAGTTTAAAAAAATTATACATACATACTTGTAGAAATTTAATATCCTTTTTTAATTCAAGACGGCAAGTCTTGTCAGTTTTTTATTTTTATTTTTATTTTTTTTTTTTTTTATCTCGATTTCAAACCTCAAATTCATTGTTGTCATTAAGAATAGTCGACTAATTAGCTTCTAATTGAATAATTGTCTAATGTATGAATATATAAAAAATTATAGGGAACAAAACGCGTATCCACGATTAATTAGCAATTTCCTGCCAACGGCGGGAAACATATTAAAAAACAAAATTTTTTTGGGTGGTTGGTTTGTTAGAAATGGTGGTGAAGAAAAATTATGGAAGCGGGAGTAGTGCCTGTATCTGGACTCGGGAGAGAGAGATTAGGTTCTTTTGTCCGATACTTGACGGATAGAATTAAAAATAGAGTAAAAAGTTAAAAATAGTAAAAAAATTAGAGGAGGACAGAGAATTATGAGTGGTTGTAGACATAAAAACGGGTCTAGTTTCTTCTTATATTAGAGAAGAGAACTGAGAAGTAAAGAGAAGAGATGAGAATAGAAGAGCTGAACAGGCAAGCAGTTCGCGCGGCGGTTAGTATTTCGCTTTTTGCGGCTATTGTAATCAAGGAAGGGTTAGGCAAGTTTTTGCAGCCGGGTGCCTCGCCCGCCCGGACACAAAACACCGGGCAGATGGACTCACTCCGTGGCTACTTCTCCCCCTTCTTCTACTTCTACCCCTTACCCGAGCAGGCCTCCAAAGTCCATACGCTCGATGGTTATATGAATATATATCCACTGGTACACATGCAAAAGCTACCCTTGCGAGGCAAAGCTGGATCCATTATGCCTATAGCCACCATCCGAGCCCGCCAGACTTTTTGCCATCATTTCCCTGCGCCGCATCGCTCGATTTAACGTCATAAGAGTCCAAAAAGATACCACCCGACTGTCTATGCACTCAAAGGGCTTTGATATATCCCCGTGATCTACCCCCTCGTAAAGGCGAGCCAACAAAATCTCGAATGACGGTTTTAAAATCGTTACGGGTTCCCAATTTGGGGGTCGGACTTGCTTCTAGGGCACACCCCACAAATTTTACCCCTCAGCATTTTTTTACTCTAAAACGTAGGGTGAATTTTTTAATACACGCCTATAGCGAAAAAATGGCGTGTGGGTAATGCGTTTTTTTTTTTTTTTTTTTTTTTATTTCCAATTTTTAATTTATTATTATTAGAGATGCGGATTGGAGTTTTTTCAGAAAAAGAAAGACCTGGTGGATGTAATTAAAATATTCGATGGGAAATAAAAATATTGGGAATAAGATAAAAGATTGACAATTGACATAAAGACAAATCAATCTCTCAGGATACTCTGAGATAATGTGGTGACAGGATATGTTACTGATTTGCTGTCGATTTAAGTAGTATAAAAATAAAGTAACATGAGTTGACTGTTGTCTGTTGGCTGTTGGCTGTATTTCTATATAGAGCAAGAGAGTGAATAAGTGGCAAGAGTGAGAGAGTGAGAGGCTCGAGGTAGAGAAGTCAGTCAATGCCAAATACAAATGATAAATATAGTGAAGGATGCTGTGATGCTTCGGCAGTTTGTTAAAGAAAGAGTATACGGTACACAACACATACAACAACAGTAGTAGACTTTTGTAGAGATCCCGTCGAAAACTGGTACAACCAGTATATTATTCGATACACGTATCAACAACCAAGATCTTATCCTAAACGATTGTATCGTCAATTTCATGTTACAATCACTTATATTTTTATTGCTTATTAATTTATCAATTTATCAATTTATCAATTTGCAAGCAAGCTTCCTCTTGATGTTCCTAGTCTTCCATCCATCTGATGATGAATTTCATCCACTGTTCCCACAATGTGCTGGATAATTAACTCAAAAAATCCATTCCATAGATCATTTGCATAGATCACACACAAAAAGGGAACAAATGATTTTTTTATTACCCATTTTTTGAGATACTTTTTTTCTGTTCCAATTTTTTTAAGCGACATAATCCAGGCGAGTGATGCGTCAAGGCTTGAGGTACTTATATTCTATACTATATATAAAAAGTCTACCTGTCCCCACATGATCCCCGACAGTGTAAACCCTCGCGTGTACGGTGTCGACCCGAGTTTCCTTCTCTCACTCTCGCTTTCCGGCACCCCCTTGTAACCCTTTCGCACGTCTCACACATATATTTACATACATATACATACTTATATATATATATATATATATATATATATATATATATATATATATATATATATA